TGGTGATGGGGGTAGTGGTGGTGGTGATGGTGGTAATGATGGTAGTGGTGTTGATGGTGGTTGTGGTGGGGTAGGGGTGGTGGTAGTGGTTTTGATGGTGGTAGTGGTGTTGATGGTAATGGTGTTGATGGTTGTAGTGGTGGTGATGGGGGTAGTGGTGGTGATGGCGGCGGTAGTCGTGTTGATGGGGGTAGTGGTGTTGATGGTGGTAGTGGTGGTGATGGTGGTGATGGGGGTAGTGGTGGTGATGGCGGCGGTAGTCGTGTTGATGGGGGTAGTGGCGTTGATGGTGGTAGTGGTGGTGATGGGGTAGTGGTGGTAATGATGGTAGTGGTGTTGATGGTGGTTGTGGTGGTAATGATGGTAGTGGTGTTGATGGTGGTTGTGGTGGTAGTGGTTTTGATGGTGGTAGTGGTGTTGATGGTGGTAGTGGTGTTGATGGTTGTAGTGGTGGTGAATGGTGGTCGTGGAGGATACAGTAGTGGAGGTACTGGGTGAGGCGGCTTTATCCACCAGTTATCAGGGTGGCTGTGCTGCTGCATTATAGACATGACCTTTGTGGGTGGCTATCGTGTGCTGCTGTTCTCCGTTCGCTGCTGCTTCTGCACTGTGCCACCACCATCCCGACTCCACCACTACCACCATCCCGACTCCACCACTACCACCATCCCGACTCCACCACTACCACCATCCCGACTCCACCACTACCACCATTCCTACCCCTCTACCACCACACCACACCACAGTTTCACTTACACACCCCTACCACTGCTCTTGACCAGTAACTTCACCACTAGCAGAAGGTACTACCGATATAACCCGCTACAACACCACCAACACCAGGTTACACTGACAAAACAAACGGGTTCATGCAGACTTGTACCAGGAAAACTGAAGCAATTGCCGGTGTGAGCAACACTCGCCGGCTGCCAGTGTCACGTGCAGTCAGTAGTCGATCATTACTCAGCAGCTGGTTCTTCCACTCTCGCTCTGCTTAATTATGTTGTATTGCATTCAATTTTTTTACGTAGGAGACGTGTGATGAGGCCTGCATCCAAATTATTAAAGGTTCAAATGATAAAATTAGTATTCCTTTTAAAAGAAGACGTTAGAATGCTACTAACGGTTGACTCAAACTAAAATATTGCAATGACATTGAAAATATCAAATTTATACCGAGAAACTGTATATATATATATATATATATATATATATATATATATATATATATATATATATATATATATATATATATATATATATATATATATATATATATATATAATGTGTGTAGTTAAAGCCCACACTGGAGGAATAAAAGACGAAATCTTGGAGCTGGAATTTTACACTCTTCAGCCAATTAACGGATTTCATATTTTTTTCTCCAAATGTGGGCTTTTACTTCATTTACCAGTTGGGCATTTTGTGAGGTGGTAAGTGAACGTATCTAGTTAAGGGAGTGGTAGTCTCTCCACATAACTTAGACGTTTTTATGAACGTTTATATTCTGCTTTAGTCAGTGTTAACAGGGTCGATGTATTCTTACATCTTCACTTAGAAGGATTATTTATCGTAAGAACCTTTGAGAACTGGACCTTGGTTTCCAATAGGAGAGAATATGGTCAAACTGTCAAGTTTATCTGGTAACAGTTGTTGGGAAGTATCGCTATTGGGGGTCAGCTGACCTGCCATCAAGCACACCAGAGGAGGGGGCGAGTTAAAGGGACACATGGAGTATTAGTCAGCTACAGGGAAATTGAGGAAGGGAGAAGGAGGGAATGTGTAGGGAGGCAGGCAGGCAGGGAGGCAGGCAGGTAGGGAGGCAGGCAGGTAGCGGGGGTACCCAGTATGTGGCTCACTGTGGCATCGATCGTAGCCACCGGCACCCGCTTGCTGGGGGAGAGAGGAGAGAGAAGGGGAGAGTCTCTTTGTTGCATTGTTTTCAAGGGTTTTGAATACACAGGGTGGCTTGTGTAAGTTGTGAGGTCGCCTCGTTAACTCGTATCTGGATGTAGTGGTTGAGATGGTGATGGGGGTTGCTGTGGATGGCTAAGGTGTGTGGTGGTGGTAGGGAAGGTGTGTCCGGTGTGGCTAGTGGTGGCGTTGGGTTGGGGAAGATGTGTGGTTGGGCGGGAAGAGGATGATTTTTTTGTGGTGGTGTGGTGGGAGAGGCAGGAAACAACAGGGCTTGGGTTGTGTAATGTAATGGACCAGTACAGTATTGGGCTTATTGTGAGAGGTGAGTGTACGAGCATGTGGGATGGGTCTGGCGGGTTGTGGAGGTCAGCTTGTGTCGATGAGGAGTCGATACTGGGGTGGTTCAGGGAGGGGGTCATCTTCACATTCTCGAAGAATCCGAAGTTCGCCCCAGCTGGTGTTGTACGCACGGACCTACCTGGCTCATTTAAGCATTGGCACTAGGATGGAAGAGGAAATACCCAGCTGATTACATTCAAAACTCCATCCTGATGTGTTCTCTTACCCGAATTTATTAAGGAAAAAATATATATATACTACCTGTATTTGTTTCCCAAGACGCAAGGAAGAGTGGTGTTGGTAATTCACGAGAATGTCTACAGAGGAACATACTTCACATCAACTAGGAACAGTGTAAACATCAAGTACACAATGCCCTAAGAAATTTTGTGGGAGTGTGAAAATTACTTTAAATTAAGTTGACGTTAATTGGTGTTTGGAAGAAGCTCGTGTATCCATTCAGGAGTCAATAGATTATCTCAGCCAAAAAAAAAAAATAACTCCAAAAATATAGATGGGAACTTGACGAACAACTCCTAAGCTCTATCTTCAAATTTTTTTATGTTAGTTTTGAAATAATCTGATGATTTATGGACGCCCTGTATGGTTGGTCGTAATGCTTCATTTGCATTAATCCTGTTAACTCTAAAATCCGATATTCTTAAAAACACAAACACCTGAAGTAGTTATTGGTGGTGTACGTGCCCTCGCACACCGCCACTCATTAACAACATAACAGAAGGACCGGAGAATAACCGTTATTTATTAATCCATTTTGAGGTTCAGATTAACCTTGTAACACTTCCATTTTCAGCACTGATCTTAACTAATTTCACTATCAACCAGCCTGATCTTAACTGAGTGCCTTTCTTTGCCCTCCAAAATTATCTCTCCTTCCCCTCTCTTGTAACACTTGTAGGTAGCAGAGGTGTGATGCTTCCTCTCTTAACTCCAAAAAATAAATTTCTTTATGTAGCTGGTTTCTGTGCATCCATTTTTATAGTTATTGAGATAACTTCTGGTTTCACCATTTGACGCTATCTTCAACGATTTCTCAATTTCTCTTCAGCCAAAATTCTTGCACCATTTCAGAAGTTAAAAATTTTCAAAATCTAATAACTAGTAGAATTTTTCCTTTGAAAAAAAAATTACGTTTCTGGAGTTTAATATTTTCATTCTTATACTAATAAAAAATGTCGTGGGTTTGGTTTGACGACACTTAACGGCTCCAGTGTTTTATACTGACTGGCTGTAGACGGTTCCTTGCGTTCTATCTGCGGCCAATCAGTTCTCTGCACAGAGCCTTAAGTGTATTAAGAATCTAGGTGTGTGTGTGTGTGTGTTTTGTATCACAATTTAACGGGTAAGTGTATGACTAGTATGAACAAGGGGAACTTGTGTCCGTGGATATTAATTCAGGGGAGTTTTGAAAAACCTGTGTGACATCTCGGCGAGTCTTACCGAGTTTACATGAGGTACAGTACTTGGGTTTTTTGATAACTTTATTCTTCACTCCACTGGGTTTAGTGTGGGGGGGGGGGGGATTTGGTGGTGGGTTGTGATAGAAAATTGTGCTGAATGAGTTATGTTAATTGTGTAATTCTGTAATAAGTGTGTGTGTGTTTTAATGACATAGTGTGGTTATGGTGTTGGTGGTATGGTTTGATATAGTGGAAGACAGTGTAGTTGTGGTGGTGGTGGTGAGGGGCGTCACATGGCACCACAGTTGTGTGGCTGAGTTTGTCCAGAGTTTATACATTGTGTACTTGTATGTTTACTTACCATTTATTTCTGTGTCTTGGTTATCTTTTCCTGTATTTCACTTTTATCTTCTTCCTCGGTGCTGTAGAGGTATCTTGTGACCTGTTATCATGAATTAACCTTCATTACTCCCATCATTCTCTCCCCGTCCAAACGTTAACATAAACCCGTATTGTTCAGCTCGTAGTTAACAGTCAGACCCGTAGTCTTTATCACGCATTAAACTTTTTACTTGACGCCTTCCCCTCTGAATACGAACATGTTGAGTACTCGTATCAAATCCCTTATTCTGATGATTAAGACCCGCCCCAAGTATCGTGTGCTGGTGACGAAAAAAAAACCAACAACCCTGTGTTGTGTTGGTGCCCCTGCACACACACCCAGCACCGCCAAGGAAAAAGTGTTTACCTGTTTACCCCGTTATGAAGTAAAGATAACCTTCTCTGTCACGTGGCTCTCTCTTTTTACTCTCTTGTTAATATCCAGCTCTTACGTACTGTCAAACACTCCTGCTTCATCTTGTCTGTCTCTACGTGTGTGCGTGTGTGCTCCTATGAGTTATTTTTTCATTGTAGGTGTTTGTATGCAGGTGCACGTGTGTATGAGGGTGCGTATGGTGAGGTGACTGGCTGCACCATAAGAACTCTAAGGTGCACCTCACCAAGGTTGTTTATCCTCTACAGCTGACCATATACTGCCAGAACACTTCATCCATCCTCCTGACTCGTATAACTTGTTCTACAGTGCAGTAGTTAATGGTCAGCTGTAGATGGTGTGACCCGTTGGTTGAGACTGAGAGGGTAGTGAGAGAGTTTGGGTGTGTGGGGTGGTAGTGGTTGGTGATGGCGGTGTGGCTTTTATTACTACTACTGCTACTACTACTACTACTACTACTGCTGCTGCTGCTGCTACTGATGGTGTAGTGTGAGCCCAACAGCTCTTAACTCTCTGCCTTCTCTTTCCCTCTTCTCGCACGCACACAGGCGCCTGGTTCAACAAAGATCAACTGGACCCTAGAGGTAAGACTCGATACATCACTTGGACCTCTGCCCGTATCAAGCTTCCATGCTTCTTATTATTTGTATTGTTCTGTAAACTAATCATCTTCCATGTCCATTTATAAAAACCCAGTATTTTTTATAACCAAATATCTAGATGTTGAATTATTGTTTCTTCCACGTGCAAGATTGTGTAAACAGAGAGGAGTGAGATGACCGGAGATTTTATAGCTAGCATCATCTCTCTCCGGTGTTGTTGTTGTTGTTGTTGTTGTTGTTGGTGAGACGGTGTAGTGTACCTCAGGTGTCCTCACGTGTACAGTAGAGTAGTGCATGTTAGCCCACGTGTATTATGTATTACATATAAGATCAATAGCAGGTAAAGGTTTGACCATTCCCCGTAAGGTCTTGACGCTGGTTTATATGTTGAACATCTGTGTCTGCTGTTAGGAGCAGTAAAGTGATATACAGTCAGTAATTAATATTGTGAGAGTAGCTGTAGTTAAGGTTAAAATTTTAAGACAAACCGATCTTTACTTATAAACCAGTTCACTGAAATAGTTTGATATATCGTATTGTTACCATATTCTCCCGGGAAACTCAGATATATATATATATATATATATATATATATATATATATATATATATATATATATATATATATATATATATATATATATATATATATATATATATATATATATATATATATATATATATATGTATATATATATATATATATATATATATATATATATATATATATATGTATATATATATATGTATATATATGTATATATATATGTATATATATATATGTATATATATATGTATATGTATATATGTATATATATATATATATATATATATATATATATATATATATATATATATATATATATATATATATATATATATATATATATATATATATATATATATATATATATATATATATATATATATATATATATATATATATATAATTTTAATGTACTGCGTGTACTTCAGATAACTTCTGGTGATGGATGTCATGAAAATAAATTTTGGTGTTTTAGAGAGTTTGGTGTGTGAGGATGTGCGAGGGAGTGTAGGTACTGTAGCTTGGTGTGTTGGTGGGGAATTGTGTGGTGTGGGTGGTAGAGATTGTGTGGTGCAGGTGGTGGAGATTGTGTGGTGCAGGTGGTGGTAGGAGAGGGTATAGTGGTGGTCGTGGTGGTAGGACAGGGTGTAGTGGTGGTGGTGAGCGGCTCCGATCTGACCTGCTCTTGGGCCGATGTAGTCTAGACACTATAATCGTAAGGGCGTCCTGTCTCGTGAGTGAATAGATTTGAGGTGCCCAGGGTGACGGAGGAGGGGGGCGGGGTGCCATGTTGATGGGCTGTAACCTGACGAGAAGTGTGTGATGTCAGCATGTCACCCTCCTTCACTTGCATCACTAATAGTGGTCTTTACATACTCTGGGTCAAGGTAGACTAGTAAGTGTTGGCCTGGTCGAAGCTCCTGGTCAAGTTAGACGGAGTTGGTTGTGGTTGAAAGTCTGTCTTGTAGTATACTGTCTATACTGTAGTTTTCTAAGAGGTGTTTTCTGTTTCTCTACAGTAAATCAGTTATAGGTGGTGTAATGTCTCGGAGTCTTGGTAAACGTTGCTAATTCTTGATAATGGGGGTTTTTTTCATTAATTTGTTTAAAGGAGTCTTAATGTACAACGGTGACAATAAACCTAAATGAGGGATATTTGAGTTGTGTGATCATGCATGGTGGCGGTGGTGTATGTTTAGTGGTCCGCCTGCCTCTCATTTATGGTCTTCAAATTGGCTATAAATGATGTCTAAACGAGGTGATTTTGAGGAGAGGGAATGAATAGGTGTGTGTGTGTGTGTATAGCGACTCCTGTAGGTGATGGTAAGGGTTTGCAACAGGTTCGCCAAATAAAACACTCGGTGATACAGTAAGATGCCTTGATGAAAAGCGTGGTGCAAAAAAATAGTTCGGGAGGCTGTCTGGTAATTTTGCCTAACACACTAGTCTATGGGCGAGGATGTTGAGGGAGTTCCGAGCTGGTGTGTGTGTGTGTGTGGTTCAGGAGAGAGAAATTCTTGTTAACGATGAAAGTAAATTATTAGTGTTCATATTATTGTTTATGTGATGAAATGCCCAGGAAAGGATAGTGGTGGATTGGTTGGTTGGTTGGAATTGCAGGATACGTAGATGGTGATTGGTGAATAGATGGATGGATAGGTGTATGGGTTATGGAAATGGGTGGATAGATTATAATGTGGGAGGTAGGGAGAAGAACTGATGAAAGGGTGGGGCTGGGGACCGATGGATAGGTGAGGGGTTAGTTTTTACTTTTAAGAATTACTATTTAATGGTGGTGGTGGTGGGTGGAGTAGTTAGTATCATTCAGTGGTATGGTGGGTTAATGGTAGAAGTTTCTAGCTAGTGAGAGGATGGTGGTTGTGGTGGTGGGACGGGGCAGTGGTGGGTGTGCCAGTCAGAGTATTGATCGCTGACTAGGGCGGCTCCGTGTGCGCCTCGCCCCTCGTGTGCATGGTGTGTCTAGCCCATGTGTACATGGGTGTGTGTATTTGGAGTGTGCCTCGTTCGCCTAGATGTGTACGTGTATGTCAAAATGGTTTACTCCTTTAATGTGTATATGTGTGCACGTGAGGTGTCTTGTTCGTGTGTGCGTCTAACGTTAGTGCCTCCAGTTATACACATGTACTAAGAGGATGTTTTTTTTACCATGTGTACAACTTTAATTCGAATTACTGTACGATGCACCTTGGCCATATACTGCGCGCGCGCGTTTGTGTGTAATTGGTGTGTATGGATCTTAGCCTAGTTTATCTGCAGCGTGGGAAGACTTGTGTCTGTGTAATTGGCTGCCAAATGTTCCTCTGGAATCCAAAGCTGCCCTTCGAGTGTGTAATGTAATGTAATGTAATGCAGTATGTATCGAAGTCTGTGTGTAATGTCATACAAGTATAAGTGTATTCGTCCATGATGTGTGTGCCTGACTTTAAGTTATGTTTTGTGTATGTTTGACATGTTTCGTATGTTGTCATGTTTACTCGCGTACAATATTCGTCAGTTTCCTTGTTTGTCTGGTGTGTTAGTTGTCATCCTTTTGCATGTTTTTGTTGGTCTTATTCCTTCATTGTTGTTGTTTGGTGTTGGCCTTGTGGTGGAGCCTGCGTGGTGTAGTATTTGTTGGTGCAGGTTATGGGTAATGGTGGGAAGGAACAGGTACGTTGTGTATGGGGGTATAGTGCTTGCCTTGGGGAGAAGGGTGTGGAGTTTTTTTTTGGTAAACCTTAGCACGAGCGACGCCACCACCCGGTTTTTGTCACCACTACCACTCTACTTTATGTAGTAATTGGTGTGGTAGGGAGGAGTGGTAGTTAGGGTGTTGGTTTTCTCAGTTTTTGTTTAGCGATGAAGGAGGTGTAGGTGGGAAGGAGGTGGCTGGACGCTGCCCAGGTAGTAATGCACCTGTGAGGGAGACAAGGGAGTGGCAAGTGCTTGACAAATGTGAGGCGAAGGTTGACAGTAGGCGTAAGAAAGCTCAGTAAATATAGCGTGGGTTACCCAGGTGATGCTGAGTATAGCTTGGGCAAGCCGCCCGCCCTCCCACCCACCTCCAGGCCAGACACGGTTTGGCACTGCACCAGTCGTGCCGTGTAGAGGGCACGGTGCTTCTTGTGTCTCCCACCCTTCTCCGCCGGTTGTTCCCTGGCCCCACCTCGTCTCCCTCCTACAGTGGTCGTCACCCTCCAGCGCCGCCACCAGTGAGTACTTGACCCCCAGCACCACGCCCGCCACCCACCAGTCTTATCAACACACTTACTACCTGTTGAGACTGCCCCTCCCCGCCCTGTCGCCCGTCCCCCTTAACCGGCTACCCAGTCCTGCTGAGTCTGGTTAACACCACCACCCCTCTCTAACAAATTAAATCAAGATGTAATTAAAGTTGCACTTCACTATTTAGAAGAAACATCACCGGAAGCTGGGTGGATCTGGAGTGTTGTTGATGAGTGTTACCTGTACGAGGGTGAGTATTCAGGCCCTGTGGTGGCGTTGAACATGGCGCCACAAGTGGTGTTCAGGTGGGCAGATGACGATGTGCTTCGTGGTACAGGTGCGGGTCTCTGTGTCACGGCTATTCTTGGCACTACCACAGTACTGCCACCTCTACTGGTGGTTCTTAGTACAGTACCTGGCAGACATCTTGGTGCCCCCAGTGTTATGGCCCGATGCTGGTGTTCCTGGATGGATGGATGAAGGGGTTGTTGGATGTGTTGGTTGACGTGGTTATGTTAACAGTGCATTCAATGGATTATAATGAATGATACGGAGTCGGCCTATTATGTGATGGTGAACTATCGGTTAGTGATGATTGTGACATGGTTGTACTCTAGTTGGTATATGAAGGAGGTAGATAGTATAGCGCGGCGGTGCAGTGATGAAAGTGTGTTACTGCGGCCCTGTACGGAGGTGAGGGAGGAATGGAGTGCAAGACTCGTCATTACAGACTAATGTTTGGAGTTGTCCCCTTGAAGCCCTGCATTAATGATGGTTGACGCTCCCCACGCTACTCTCTCACTCTCGGCCTTCACGCTTACCTCAACCTGTTCGCCCTGCTCCTGGGTCACACCCCTTACCTCAAAGGAGTCCCAATAATACAGTCCTAGTACAGTATTAGTCCCACCAGCATCCTAATTCATGTTACAGTGTTACTAGTTTCACTAACACAGGTACTTGTTCAAATCCCCTTTAAGTCCTACTAACACGGGTACCACTTGCAAAAGTCCAGATGTAGCTTCGTTTAATTAAGTTCTACCAGCTCAAGACCTCATCTGTGTTATCCAAGTCCCTTTACAGACCAAACTGACGTGCTGTACTTCCCTCAACGGCTGATTCACCCATCAGCTGATAATAAATTTAAACTTAACTGCCGATTCACTTTAACAGCTGCTCCTCTCAGCGCTTGATCTAAACTCGAAATTTGTCAT